AGGAGGAGTAGCAGGCAGAATGACGAGTGAGGAGGAGGGAGGAGGGTATACCCTCCCATCAGTACCTTTCCCTCCTCCTCCTCAAGAGCTGCGCTCTAATTCGGCGTTACAGGGTGTTGAAAACGGCTTTCATTTTTCATTATGCACATCTTATCTTTCAGCACATCACAAACCAAACAGCCATGGAAAATGCAGCGGCTTATTGAACCTCCCGCTGGAAACCATATTAAAGGACTACTTAAGGAACAAGCGCCTAGGTCCGCCATCTAGACCTCATTTTCATCGGTACGTTGTTGAAGCTACACTGAATGTTCAAGCTACTGGCACCAAAACAGTGCCGTTGACTTGGGGACCAAGTATCAACGAGATTCTCAACTGCACGTGCAAAGATTTTCTTATGCTGCCCTTACCGCCTACACGGGAGCCATCGTCTACCCGGAAAACGTTGAAAAAGTCATCGAACTCGACGAGGCACTGGTGAATAAAGCGATTCAGGGCAACAGAACAAAAGAAAATTCAAAGCAGTACGACCGCAAAACCCTCGCCCAGGTTCTAGGAAATTCTCCGCATTATATCGACCAACACATTGTTTACAAACAAGCCCGCGTTTGCCCACCAGGCGAGGGCACTGCGCGCGCGCAGAAACCAGATTCGGCCTAGGTGAATCACCTGCGCATGCCCAGCGCCGACAGCAGCGCCACCGCAGCGGCGTGACGTCAGAGAGTTGAGTTGGTCTATATCGATGTGGTACGCTGCTCTCAATGATTCAGGCGTTGAAGGACCCTATGTATTGCCCGATCCCTAGTACTTCATCGCTGCTCTGAATAATATATTCTCTATTATAGCTTTAATCGAATCGAAGCCTTCCATTACCTCTTCCTTAGGATACTACGGAAGCCTCTTCGAGACTCGTATCCTGGAAACAAGTGCCATATTCCGATCGCGCTCGAAACTTGTGTCGAGAAAGGCTTCCGGAGAAATACCTCGCACCGTGGTACATCCTTGCCATCACGACTCTGACGAGCCCCATCAGCCTTCAAGACACCAACGTCATTTTTGAGACCGCCAAAGAGGCGATAATGAACCCCACCAAGACTTCCACCGACCTTAAAAGCAAAGCGAAAGATCGCATTATAAACAGGCTTCTAGTGCTCAAGGGAAACGTCGCGGTCTCGAGAGACCACGGCGGTTACATCAGCTATACAGGTGCAATAACGTGCCAGACATGAGCGCACAAGACATGTACGCCAACGAATGGAAACTGCAACGTCACGACGTCGCCTGCCACCAGTCACACCGACTCCCTTGTAGACCTCTCCAAGACCAGCAGAAGGTCGAAGTATCCCTCGATGTGCTCACAATGGCAGCAGCCCTTCTACAAACGCGTCTCATCTATGCAGGGTCGGAACGGTTCCTCAACACGGCCACGATGGCCTTCGTCATCCTGTTAAAGATGCTCGAGGACCTTCTCTCTCCCCTGGATGACGCCTTCGCACCCACGTCTCGAAAGCGCTGTCTACAGCTTCAGATGGATGATGGATCAAACAGGAGCATCAGGCCTGATGCCTTTTTCTACCACTTCGGATCGCCTATTATCTGGAAGAACCGAGCGCTCGAACGGGTGACGACGTGCCCGATGACGTCACGGGGGATCACCTATTTTTTCGCAGGGCATGTCTGCTGTTCTGCGATGCCAACAACCCTTCGTTGGCGAGGGCCAAATGCAACGGGGCCGTGCAGAACATGCCCGAGTTCTACCGGGCATTCTGGTGCCCGGCCACGCGGAAGATGCCCCAGGTTGGGGTCTGCCGGTTGAGATGACTCACGTTATTAAGATGATTAGGAGGGCAGTTGCAAGAAAACTTCATATAAATTTAGGCCTTCTTTCGTAGAAATCAGGACATAACAATACTGAAGTGATAACGTGTAAGTTCGTTTCTTTGTATACATAACTTTTGGTTGTCTCTGCGTAGGACTATATCGTTCTTGGATGTATTCGTAACTCCCTTTTTTTGCTATCGCAATTTTCAGCAGTCCATCTTTTGTGTAATTTTCTATGGTAAGACCTTCAATGTATTAATTAATTAATTGCGGGCTCGATATTTCACCGGCGAATTGCGCTGCTCAGAACTGTACTCCTTTCCGGAAGGCATTAATCAGCTTTAGCCTTGTAGGGTGTCGAAGTCATTCATTAGCTCTGTTTAGATACAAGTGCTTAGAGAGGCACACGTTCTCCTGCTGAAACCCAATCACAAACTGTGCTGAGTGACTTATCGGGATACCTCAAGGAAAAAGTGCAGCTCTACAAACTGATACACAGCGTATAGGACGAAAATCTTCACTATATACTTTAGAAACACGATCCTTTAGAAAAACACAGAAACGCGTTTGAAAGTACGCCCTTTGGAATTATCTGCTAGCAGCAAAAAGTTTGTTGCCTTTATCATAATGTTATTTTCTAGGTCATAAGCATAAAAGAGAAGTGCACGAACATTATGTGGTATTTCTAAATGCCAAGCATGATAGTTCGTACGACGGAAAGCAAAACACACACCACGAGTGTGAGCCGCCTTAGACGCTAATTGTTTTGTTGTTGTTTTTCTTCTCGTTTGTGTGTTTGCCGGAGAGTTAATCAGACTACCGAGTACAAAGAGTTTATATACGCAATTTACCTTGTTCGAAGTTATAGTATAATATATCACATGATTAAAACATTAAACGAGAGTATAGTAGTAAATTATTGGTAAGAAGGAAAAATATATGTAGCAAAATGGTATGTTTCGTTTCGAAGCTCTTGTATCCATACATGCAAATGCCTGTTCACATACTTGCGTTTGTTTAGGACCGAGTTCTTGCGATCACTCACGACGAGAACGCGGCTCACTTCAGCGTATCACTGCCATTTGTTTCCAAGGGCCGCACGAGGCATGCGCCGCGTGCATCGGTGCATTTTACGCTACTTGTAAGAGAAACCCATCAAGGGGCTCCTGTCAGATGACTCCCTAGAGCTCCTTACAAGCAACTGCAGTTCCTTGTCTGCTAAAAACGCCGGTTCTCGGAGTCGTCTGCTCGTTCGTTGGCGGGAGTTGGCGTCGCGACTGCTTGCGCCATCTCTTGTCTACCGTGCGAAACGGCGCCGTGTTGATTGCAGACCGGTGGCGTCGCTGCGTTTCCATAGGAGCTAAGCCTTTTTCTTTCTTTACTTTTTCCTCGGGTAAGTTCGCTCTTTGCAAATTTTACAAAAAAAAATGCACCATCTGTGGGCAATGCTGCACAAAGTCGTAGCGCGATAGGTTAAGAAACCGAATTTTCCGGTCAATTTAAAGAGCCTACCGTCTCCTTGTTTCACCCAGTAAATTGTATAAAAGTTTGTTTTTTTTTCTTTCGTTTTCAGTCACGTGGGTTCCATATCTGGTATTCGTGACGAAAAATAATGAGATGTTTAAACCTGGAATATGCGAGAAAATATAGGTGAGGCAAACGAAGAGTGAAAACCTTCCAGAGGCGCGGAGAGGTCAAGACGGTGTCGACATTCAAAATGACTGCGCCCTTGTGGAAGAAGTGTATAATCGCCAGTGACAATCGCGTGATAATCGCTTCAAACATTCCGAGCAAAACAACCAGGGAAGCGAAGCTGGCAGAAGAACGTGAAGAGGGAGCTTCAGGTAAACCTCAGAACAACGTGCGGACGTTTCACTAGAAGGCCTAGTTTATTCAGGACGCCATGAAGAAGCTATTGCTCCCAGTGAAACGTCGGCACGCCGTTCTGCGGTTTATCGGAAGCTTCCTCTTTACGCAAAACATTCCAAGTTTGTGTTTATTTTACGAACTTTTTTTTTTTTTTTTTTTTTTTTTTTTATGGAAATATTTCAGATAATAAAGAAAAACTTCCCAAAAGTTCCATACAGTGCAATAAAATATTGTCTGCATACTAAAACCCAGAAATAATTGAAAAAAAAAATTAATACCTTTTCATAGTGCGCGTTATTTATGCCTGAGTTTAGCGCTTTGTACCTGCAATGCCTGCGAGAAGAGTGAGCGCGCAGGCGACTTGGCGAATCTAAGCCTGAGACGCGTGAGGAGGAAGAAGACACAGATCGTCCCTGAGAAAGTTAATTAATGAAGTTAATTAATGGTAACGAAAGGCCTTTCACTGCTACAATGCTTTCAGCAAACGCTTGAAAAACCCACGCCAAGGTCAGTACTTCAAAGTTCTAACCAGGGGAAACAAAATGATACGCCAGCTCCAGCCCTGGAAAAGGGGGTGGGGGGTGGGGGCTTTTGGGGCGGGGCCACGGGCGCTAGGGCAGCCCTTTCTCCCTCGTAGGGTGTGAAAGACGCCCTTCAAAAGAGGCATTCTTCGCGTTTCTTGTGTGTTTATTGCTGGCATGCCAAAGAATCGCTTTGGTCGTAAATCACTCATTTAACTCTTTTCAGCACCGACCATACTTCGTTTCATATCGTGTTGGGCCAAAACGGAAGGCTAGGGGCCCCCACACTTTCAAGACAATTAATTACTTTTTTTTTTTTAATTCCTAAAGTTTTGGTATAGTTGTAGTTAGAAACGTGATGAGCGTCATCGAGAACCACTAAATTAGCTCATTCTAGAAGTACGTAAGGCACGTACAGCATTTTACTGCGTTCCTAAAATGCGCTCAATTCGGACGCGTGTTTAGGTTTCGGTTTCTCACCGGAGCGCATCTTTGTAGATGTTTGCGCCAGCGGTACTGGCCTTGTTCTGTCCCGTAATAACTTTCTCCGAACTTCCTAAATTCTCCATTCAGTCGCACATTATTACGCGCTGCAAATTCGCAAAGTAGTTTCCGCGCACTGATCCAATATCAGCTAGAAGGTAAGACCTGTGCCTCCCCCCCCCCCTCCCCCCCCCCCCCCCCCAAAAAAAAAAAAAAACTTTTTCAAAAAAATAAATAAATAAATAAAAAATACGTTATTGTTAGTGGATCAGGCAGCGCCGCCTAGCTTACGTCAGTATCGTCGCCAGCGCGTCTCGCAGCGTTTCACGAACGATGACGTCATGTGGAGGCCTTGTCTTTTTAGTTGACTGATTTCGCGCATTTGGGCGCGAGTTTGCTCCTCTTTTAAACACACTCTGTTCGCACACTTTACTGGGGAACGTCCGCACATCATGCGACACACTGTAGGCACCGTAGCACGTTCGAGAATACAGCGCAGCAACGACGGAACACTCGAAACAACGAAGTTCTCCGTCAGTTCCAGCCGGCTCCGTAGGGCGTGCTTTCCCGCACGGCACTTTCGCGCTGCCGCCTCCTCCGGGTGGAGGGCTATATTTGTAGACGGTCCCCCGGACCTGCCGAAAAAGAAGACCCACGCCCAGTCCGCCGGAGAAGATGGCGTCCCGCGAGAAGCACCAGAAAGGGCAGACCAAAAGCAGGATTCGGCGACGATGGGTGGCGTGTTTCGCGCTGGCCATCGTCCAGACCATCGTCGGTCTCGGCCTACTGGCAGTCGGAGCCGCCGACATCGTGGTCACGCTGGACGAGAAGTGCAAGGACCGCACGGGCGCCTCGTTCCTGCAGGCAAGTGTTCACCGCCGCTTCCTTTTGTGCGGGCGAACGGACGCACAGACGCGTACTTTGAGCTGGCCGCGTTGACCGCGCGCGTTCTCGATGAATTCTGCGCGTGCGTTTACATTTCCGGTGGCTTACGAAACTTAGAACATTGCTACTGCCTGCGTCTTTGTCGTGTGCAGGCGTTGCGATCATGTCGGAGAAAAGTCCACGGACGTTCGCACGTTGTATTTTGTTCGCTACAAAACAGGCGATTAGAAAATGACCCCTTGGACCCCTTTATTTAGGTACCCGTAAAATAATTGTCATCTAAGGGTGTAAAATAAGATGACGAAATTGACCAGTCTAGGGATTTATTTACGTTACATGGTATACTTCTGTGCTCCTACATTTATGGGCCACGACTATTCATGTTTGTCACATTACTTGGGAATCTAGTGAGCTCGCAAAAGAGCAGCGCGTGCGTACGGCTTTGCAGTTATAATTGGCAGATGAATCACTCGGAGTCCACTAATTAACTTCTCAAATATTTGCTTTAACTGGCACATTCTAATTGCAAATGTGTTTTGTCCATTGTAAGATGGACAACTTTCACCTTTAATTAGTTTCGAGGTAGGGTGAACTCAATTCGTAAATTGCATATCGATGCACTGGTTCTGTTTCTAATTTTCTTTTACAAAGACGGATTTGGCCTGTGTTGCTCCTAAAAAATGAGCCCACCTTTTTATATTTATTTTTTTAAAGATTGCATTAAATTTCGGGTGCGCTGTTTCTCAGAGCTCTATGGTGTGATTGTGAAGCTTGGCAAGAAAAACATCTTGACTGTGTTTTTGTGCACGACATAAATAGATTGTGCCAAGGAAAACAATACACCCTGCCTGTGATAATTCTAGCGGATTAATATACAGATAAAAAGTATAGGCATTCACTAATAGAAAGTCTGTTCTTTTCAGTTGGGTGCTGTTTCACATTTCACTAATTGTTTGCACAATGTATGTTATGCTCTCTCTCACTAGAACTGTGCAGTACAGCCAAAACTACAGGGGAGAGAGTGTATGCCAACCTGTTCAACAGGAGGGAAAGAAGGAACAGGAGAGAAGGGCTGGGATTCTCACCCTCCTACCTCCTTTCCCTTGTCGGGGCACACTCTCTCCCCTGTAGCTTTGGCTGTATTGCACGGTTTTAGTGAGATGGAGTATGGTGGGGAAGGCCACCTTTTTTACATATATGACATCTCAGGCCTATTCGGTTCTGAGATGTTACATGTCATTACAGAAGGTTACATTTGCTCCGTTTTCTTACAATGTACCGAGATGTCACATAACATGACAGATATGTTCCGTAAGCTTTGTTTTCAAACGATGACCTTACGATGTACCGCAGCGCTGCGGACGCTTGAAACCATTTCAGCCAAACCGGCCCTGTGAAGGTACCGCTTGACTATATCTCTCCCGAAGGACATGTGACACTCACACGGCATTTGATTGGCTTGGATAACTCATAGCTAGAGACGGAAACTCCATTCACAGCAGTCTTGTGTGGTCACACGCTGTCATTTAATCCGACCATGTCACAGATGGTGTCGGGTCAAGGCCCGTTCACACTCTTGCGACTTCTTAAACCTGGGTTCCTTAAAACTTGTTAAACCAGAAAACACACTGGCGCCATCTATTGGGAAGCAGTGTAAACTCGGCGGTCCGGCATATTTTTTTTTATTTCTCGAGAATTATCCTTTCTTTCGTGGCTCGAAAAACTTTTGACAATGTTATAAACGAGCCTTTCTATGGGTATTACGCACATTTGACCTCGAAAATCCCGCAAAACCTTCGCTCTTGTGAAATGCAGTTCCAGGGTCACCGCATAGATGGCGCCACAATGTCAGTATGTTCCCTCATTCTAAAAACATTTAAGAAGTTGTTAGAGATCTCGTCTCTCTCAGTCGTACTCGGTCGCAAGAGTGTGAACGGGCCTTCATGTGACCGTGTCATGTGCAATCAGGCCACGTGGTAATTTCCATCAAGTTATGCGTTTTCAACGTGTCACATGGTCAATCGAGACCATCATGGATCTTGGATGCACGTTCCATCTACAATGTTACATCTCTTTGGAATCGTTCCTTGAGCCAAAAATTCTCCGTGAATAAGTGCCAATTTGGTATTGCCTAATAGACCCTTTTGAAAATTCAGTGCCATCTGGTGACCCACAAGCAGTTTCACTTGCAACAAACTCATGGCTGTCATGAAACTGTATTTCATCGGGCACCATCACTTCTGCTTGCCCGTGGCGGATGACAATATGTTCTTCGATCACCTTACAAGTCTTTCTTGATTTGTTCCAGTTTCACTGGTGTGAACATAAGATCAGGCCAGTACAAGACAGTGGCCCATAAGCCCCTCGATTAAGTTTCTGCCACCAAAAGACTTTAGAGCCAAACTTGTGTCGAGAGATTGATCGTACCACGCTCCGGAATAAATGTTTACGCAGCAGTTGAATCTAATTCGTGCATCGTGCTGTACCGACGTCTCGAACGTGCGAGCCTCGTATATTCTCCGCTCAGCATTGTCTCCACCTTCTTCCTTCATCAGCCTCAAGAAGGCTGCCATCAGTTTGGCACAGATGCCACACACTGAGATGATGATAGTGATCAAAGTTGCCAGACTGAACTTTGAAAAGGGTCCCTTTCGGAGAAAATACATGCCGAGATCGGGGCGGTCCTGGTTGCGCAACAATCTTTCCTCCGCCCACAGGGTGTGGTGTGCCTTGTGTCGGGCTCCTTTGCACTTGCGGCCTACCTGCCGCGCCGGGTGCGCGCCCATGGCCAGCCCAACCGGGTCCTGGTGGCGGTGCACGTGCTCCTCTCCTTCCTGGTGGCCATCGTCAGCTTCAATGTCGTCACCTGCCTTGCCACCTACACCGGGGACAAGTCTACCGGTGAGCTGCCCCTCCCTGCCGGTACGGTGCCTGGCACCATGCTGCCGGGCACCTTTTACGGGGTGTTCCGGACAGTGTTGTGGGCATTACAGAAAAAAAGTATTGGAACACGTTACTCGTTGCTTGCTGCAAATAAGAGGAATCCATTGCTGTTACCAGTAAAAACTAATGCGCATTACTTTTCTATTACTAAACATTTTGCTGTTTTGACGTTACAAAAATGCATATGTGCCATATTTCAAGAAACATTATTTTTTTGTCACGTGACTCGCATGAGCGGAATGATGGTACTTCATTTAAACAATTAAATCCTATCGTTAGGCTCATGCAATTCATGTGACAAAGAAAATGTTCTGCTCTTTTGCCTGTATAGACACTCTTTCAGCAACGGGTCTTCCCAAAAATTACCGGTGTCAGTATACTACCACAATATTTTGTTGGGTCTTGTAGCTTGCATTTCCGTAAACATCTAGGCACGCATAAACGCCTATTTCAAGGCTTCCGAAATCAAGGTGCACATTTTGTTAGTGTCAATTACAATTTTACTTCTTGCATTACGAACATCAAGAATCTTTTCGGATGTAATCTCCTTTTTCAACGGAGAAAATGCGTGCCTCTAAGATCTTATTTTGTCGTTTATAACAACCAAACCAGCATTGATAACAGTACATATATAAAGGACCCATTTTTTTATTTTGCAACTGAATAACCGTGAAAAAAGAGTGTGGGAGTTGAACTGCCGTGCTAACTTTTTTGGTAACTCTCCTTTTCCTTTTCTCACTCACGTATGGAATCACCTGGTTGTGAAATTGTCAATTCATCCATGTTCTTTTCAGCTCTACAAGTGGTGTGAGATGATATGTTATAAACTTTTTGTTTCCTTGTTTTCTCAAATGTACCTTTCCTTATATTTTTGTTTAATGTGCATTCAATTGATGAAACCCCCTTATGATAATTCACTCTGGGCGATGTAGGTATCTGAATAAATAAGTGAATGAATGCCACAACGTACCTAGGGCCAGCTCTCGGACGTCCTTTCTCGTGGCACAAAGTGTCCCTCTTGGTGATTGCCATCTTCTGTCTCTCTGCTTGCAGCCCTGTTTGCCGTCATCCTGTCCAAGGTGGTGCTGACGTACACCTGCCACGTGCTGGGCGGCATCTGTGCAGGGGTGGCCGTGCCTGACCTCTGTCGCGGAGGCACCATCGTCTCCACCGTGGACACCCTCCAGCGAGACTATGCCTCCACCACAAAGCAGGCAGGTCCCAGAAGGGCCGTAGGCTCGACTGCAGCAGAACCTCACTAACATGAGGGCCGTCTTTTTTCTTTTCAAGTTCCGACGAACTGGGTAAAAAAAATCCGAGCGCATTTCCACTATTGCTTAACGTACGGACAGCAGCTTGGCCCTTGCGTAATTCGCAATCTTTGTTGCGTTGTCGTCGTTTCTGCATGTCCTCCCAAGCACGATCCCGAGAATTTTCGGGCCATTTTCGTTTCCGCTCTTGCACCCGATCCGTACTCCGTCTGCGACGAGCCTCATCAGCGCGCCGTCGAAAGGGGCATTCTTCGGACCCTCTACAAACTTTTCGAGGCCTAGCCATGCGGCGTGCAAGTTCGTCTGCTCGGATAATCATGCGCTTGCACCGGCACGACGGGGAGTCGGCTATAGTCACCATCAAAATGAGCATGGCACGGCGTATCTTTCAAATGCCTGTCCAGCCAGAGCACATGCTGATTGGCTTTTTGTCACATGCTGTGGCTGCTGATGCAAAATGTTATAATATACGCAGAATGTAGATGCATGCTCTAGCCACTTGTTCACACAAATAACCAACAGAGTGAGGCAGTTATTATGGTGTAGCGCAGGCTTTTGGATGCCCTCCCCAAAGAGGGTTGCCACTGGGGTTCTCAGTAATATTATATTGTGCGTCAGCGAGACTGTCACTCACCACGGACGTGTATTGTACATGGAGCACACCGCACAAGGCTTCGGGAAGGACCGAGATAAGTCCTTGGCAATGTGGGTCAGGAAAGAATGTCTGTGGCGACTGACAGTCTCGCTGAGTGCATGATGGAAATGACCCAGGCAGCAACTTTTTTTCTACATCCGTGTGCTGATTGTGTGGAGAAGTAGCTGAAGTATAAATCAAAATTCTGTGTATATTCAGTTCCCATAAAGACATGTATATATAAATTTTCCCGTTTATTTTTTTTTTGTTATTCCCCGGCTGTTACTTTATTTTCCGGTCTATAAATCTCGCCATTGCATAAGTCACATCCTTTCAAAACGAACGGCCATTTTTGCGGAAAAGTGGTCGTACAATTCGCAATTCTTTGTAAGATTGGTGAGGCAAAAATCTATCGTAAAGCCAGCATGTGTGTACTGCAATTGCAATATACCTACTTGCAAGTGGGAACCCATTTAAGTATTCTCGCCAACGAATTGAACAAGAAATATAATCGTCTGCGCAACTTTGTACACTTAAGGTGCATACTTACAGAAGTAGAATGCATACAAGTCACACCGTTGTACAAGACGCACCGAAGGAAATCTGGAAACATGACTTTACCGTGATCCCCTGAATAACATGTCTGCGGGGTCCTAAGCGTGTCCCTAAAAATTGCAGGTTTTTTTCGTCACAAAAATTAAACTATGCATCATCGAACGCTTATTTTATGTCCAAATGTGGCGCTAGCGATCCAAATCAAATGCCAATATTTCAGAACTAATCGTTATTTCATTCAAAGGCTCAAAGTGATTTTCAGAAAATTTCTACGGGAAAATGCGGCCCATCCTCGGTAACTGGCGCCATTCTGCCCCACTTTTTCTAGGACTCCGTCGGCTGCTATTTTCCCATTGAAATTTTCAGAAAATTACCTATATCCCTAGATACAACGGTTAGTACTGAAACTGTTTCATCTCTTTTGAACCGCTAGTGCTACATTCGAGCAGAAACCAGTCGTTTGGCAAATGTTTTTTTCTTTTGTTACTGTTGTCGGGAACTTGTGGCTCCTGCTTTCATAAAACTCTAAACACACTTTGTCGGAGGCATCCGGGCACGGCGACACGTCTGTCTGACCCACGAGGGTAAAGATGGCAGCAGGCCGTAAACTACCGTTAGCACCGGCATCGGTGGTCCTCAGAGAAAAAACTAGAAAGCAACGAAAGAGGACGAAAAAGAACTGCAATAAGTTCTGCGCGTTTGTTTTGCCGCGACAACTCGAAGTTGTTTGAGCCAGGGCCGTAACCAGGGGGGGGGGGGGGTAGGGGGTTCTGACCCCCCCCCAAAATTTTTTTCTGCGTACGGCCCTGGTCGGTGCACTTGCAGCCTGCCAATTTTAATCTCCACCTCTGCGCACGCGCAGTGGCGCCGGTCGGCTACCGGGTACCGAACCGGGACCGGTTCTCCGGTTTGCTATAACTCTCCATTATATGCCACCGATGCACATGATTCATAGGCGAAAATAAGACAATAGACATTTTCAAAATGTCCGCCGTTGTCCCCGAAAACCCCCCCCCCCCCGAAATTTTTTTCTGGGTACGGCCCTGGTTTGAGCGCTCATCAACTTTATTTCTTTTCATACAAAGTGCAATACCGGTGTTTTTTGCTCAGTAAGTACAAAATAAAGCTAGAAAACAACAATTACAGACCTTGCAAGTGATGTTTCCCTGCCTCCTCTTGTATGTTAAAGGAGCTGTGCAACAATTTCAGTGCTTTGCTTAAATAATTAGGGAGTTGGTGTCTCGACCTTTCTGAAGTAAAGAACAAAAAAACACTTTTGCCTGCATGTCCTAGTTTTTATTTGAAAAATTGACAAGGATGGAGGTTTTCGGCACCTCTCAACTCCCTCACCATCTTCCGAGTCACGTGCGCTGTGACGTGAAAGGAGAACGCTCAGGGTTCCGGTGAATCTCTCTCTCTCCAGAGCCTATCATTGAGCAGCAAGAACTCACCTGCTCGCGACCATGTGACCACGTGCTTGCGCAGCTCGATCAACATGGCGAAAGGAAGAAAGTGCCAACGTGCTTGTCCGGGTCCGGCCATCCCCCCCCCGGCTTCTTTTGGCTGTTTGCGGTAGCAGATAGAGCTGATGGTTTTGTTGACCTCGGGATAGATGGCGTCACTAAACCTCCGTATAATAAAAGTTTTGTCGATGATACCAGGCTTTTGATGCATTTATATTTATGTTGGAACGGGAAGATTTATAGAAAAAAATTACCTTTTATCGAGCAGGTATTTGCACAACTTCCTATCTTTTTACAAATCCCCCCTTCACGTCACGCCGCGTGGTTCTCATGGCTGCCGCTCGCGGCTGCAGGACGGGAAATATTCTAATTATTGCCCCGCGATTACGCGCCGGAATCGCGACATTTTGAAGGAAGGAGATGCGTTTTCTGTCCTTTGTGACAAGATACACGATGTCAAAAGTAGAAGATGCAAATTTTACGTTAAAATCGTTGCACAGCTCCTTTAAAGCGTCACCAGCAATATAAGCCCGTCGAGATTGCCCACCGGGACCACCAATGTCCGCGTCCGTGCCCCGTCGTTCCGAAGCGGCCACGACGTGTGGGACCTTTCCCTCTGGATTACTATATTAACTGCACGGACGGTCGCCCTTCGATTCCAGCACTGCCACGGAACGAGCGCCGCGGCAGCAGCAGCAGCGGCCGGGCCCGTCCAACTTCCCGAGGCCCGCAGCCACGTGCAGGAGGCACCGGGCACGGGTGAGAAGCTGACGGTGGTCACGCTCCCCGAGGCAGACGTCATCTACGCAGTCCCCGAGCACAGCTACGTGGTGCGCCGGCCGGAGGGGTCGTACGCGGCGCCGCCCGGGAACAGCCGGCTCGCCCCCTTCTTCCCCACCTACACCAGGGTGGCCGTCGAGTAGACTGTAGAAACCACGGGGCGCGAGAGCTCGGTCGGGGAACGGAGGCCCGTTCGCGCTCTCGCATTTGCTCGGGAATGCGTCCCTGACTGTTTGGCGTCCCGACCCACCGCTGCATCGAAAGCAATCCCAAAGTGGTAACGAATGACACCGCAAAAGAATGATGCAGGAAAACAATGGGAAAGATACCGTGATATGATAAGAGACGCCTCACCCCCGAAAGATGGCCCGCCCCCCTTTGGTATGACGTGCTGTTTTTTGTGAAACACCGAAAGATATCCCTCTGTTAGTAACTGCAGGGCTCTGGCTAATGGTGACCTCGGAAAACACGGTGTTACTTAACCACGGCGGGAGATGAGTGAACATTGCGGACTGGGAAGGACAGTCGTCCCTTCCTGCAATCACAAGTTTTGAGGGTCACAAAATCTAAAACTAGCATTTTTTCAACCTTTTTCTTATGGCACACCAAAAATTAGCTTACCCCTTATTTCCATTTGATCTGCTTTAAGTTTTAGGTGGGCTATCTCTTGGGATATAACGGTATATGAAAAATGAATGTCTTTTGTGGCTACCCAATAAGTGGCGCCAGGGCGCCCTCTTGTCGGGAGAAATTTAAGAGGTATTAAGGCACACGGCCGTAAACAATCGCAAGTGCGTGAACCAGTTTGAACACTAAAAAAAGTCTGCGAGTCCACTTTTCTGCAGAACACGGCGACAGCCAATCACGGCAAACTTTAAAAGGACACCCTCGAAAGATGAAAATTATGAAGCTCTGAAGACAATTGGACCAGGCACTCTATGTGACGTCTGCAGTGACAATGAGAGATGTTTTCATTACTCAGTGTCCCTGTCTTAATGCCGCATTTAGAAGGTCTAATTGTATTCTCAGCTCCGTCGTTCGCTGAGATTCCTGCATCGTCCACCGCAATTGGCTGTCGTCGTGTGCTGCAGGAAAGTAAGCTCCGACTTTCTTTAGAGTGAAGTGCGTGGGCGTGTAGTAGGCTTTTATTACGTGTTTTTGACGAATATAGTCGGTGATAGGTTGGGAATGGAGTAGATTCATCTCTGGGCTTCCAACGTTGCTCGTTGCCTTCCGCTGCGCGTTGACTGCATGCTCACTGGACGCCCGAGTGTTATTGAAGGTGGAATGCTCACCCTGGACGCAGAGCTTCCGCTGCTTTCTTAACCTGTCGCCGAATATAGTGACAAATGGTGACACAGTTTGGTGGCACGTTGAGTAAGGATCTGGAGGTCATCCGGTCAGCTCCAGTGACCGGTTGAAGCTTTGGGTCCCAAAGGTCCGGAGTCGTTGTGCAGTCGTGCCTTCCTGCCACTCGAGTTGGAGGGTAGCCGAACTCTCTCAAGACATGGTTGTAGTTTGTCCGCTTTGGGGCTCTTACGTCTGCCATTGTTGTCTTTGCACCTTACTGTTTTTCCCAAGACGTGCACAAACTCTGTGCTGCAAGGTAATCAGGGTGATGGAGGTTCCTTTCTCCTGTCGCTTGCGTAGGTGTCTGTCTGCTTCGTAGGTGCAATCGCCAAAGTGCCCGAGAATGCCTCTAATAGACCTTTTTTGAAATTCAGTCTGGCAACTTTGGTCACCGGTATCATATCGGTGCATGGCATCTACGTCGAACCAATTGCGGCCTTCTGGAGGCTGATGAGGGAAGAAGTTGGAGATACTACAAAGCGGAAAATATATGAGGCCTGTATGTTCCAAACGTCAGTACAACGTAACGCGCAATTTAGATACAATGGTTGTGTAAGCGTTAATTTTGGACTGTGTAGTCCAATCAATCACAGAGCGCAAGTTCGTCTGCTTCTTGCACAGGGGTTGCAATAATGTCAGAAAACTGTGCTTTTATTGGCTGATTGAAAGAAATAGTGCGTAGACCTGAAGGCACCTAGCATTGAGGTCTACCCACTGTCCTTCCACTCAGAGCTCGGCGTTATTTTGACATCACCGCATCCCCTGCGCAAGAAGCAGACGACTTGCTGTCCGCATTGGCACCAGTCTGACCCTAAAGCCTTTTGATGGCGATAATTTAATCGAAGAGCTTATGGGTCTTTGTCTTGTACTGGTCAGTTCCTATTTTCCCACATTGAAAGTGAAACATGAGAATTAATTACGAGGTTATCGAAGAACCGATTCTCATCTTCCATTGACGTGCGAAAGGGACGGTGCTCAATGAAACACAGTTTCATGACCGCAATTAGTTTGTTGAAAGTGAAATTGCATTTTCAACCACCAGATGGCACTGAATTTTGAAAAGGGTCTATTACATTTTGCTGTCTGGCTTCAGTGATGCCGCTTTGATGGCACTTATTGTGCGACAAACAGGATTTGTTTGTTTCTTGCCCCGTTGTCCAGTGGTTTCTTTGACACAATGTTTTACAATTTGTCACATTTTTCTGCCTTTGTTTCGCTGGGTTGGTGTTTGTTAATTGTGCGATAAAAAGCCAAGTTTCAGCTCCCTTTGAACTTTGTTTTGTTATGTTTTTACACTAGTAAAGTCAGTGAGACACTTTTTGTCGTGGCAACTTAAAGTGAAAGTCAGTGCCCACAAGCTGGTGAAAAACTAAAGGGCGAGGATGTTTCGTGTTTCCTTCGCATTCTGCGGATTTCGAAATTATAGATAGCAAAAATTTGTTAAATTGCATTTATAGCACTCTGCACTCAGAGGTACTAAACAGTCACAACTGCAAATTACTGAATGCTTCTTTAAAAGGGAATAATTGAGTCACTATGCACGCAGTATCGGTGTGTTCGAGAGCTTACGGGACCTCTGGTTTTTGAACTCATGGTTTTATACCGGTGAATCTGAAAACTTAAACGTGCTCATCTTCCCGTTATAGCTGTGCCTCCACTTGTATTACTTGCCAACGTTTGATCTGTCCGAGATTCACCAAATGACCTGCAGCATTGTGAATTGGAAATCATTTGGCTGCTGTATCACCGAATTAATCCACAAACACTCATTTTTGACATTGTTTTTAATTTTTTGGTTTGCTCACCTGTTGTAGACACATGAAGCGTTAGACACAATGTGCGGAATGGCTTCTGTTGGAGCAAGTTTGTAACGAAAAGATACCAAAGTACTATTTGTGGCATCGGCAATTGCCTCAAAAGGATCGTGCCAATAAACCACGAAGTAGTGATCGGAACTTCATTGTAAATATGCCACATCAAAGTTTTGTCGCTTCTCACCTAGCCAAGACTGCCTCATTCACTGCCAATGCTTTGGCGCCAAAGAAGGACCCTGGGTTGTAAAGAAGTGCCTGCTGTCGGTATACAAGGCCACGGGGCCACACTGGTGTATGTGATGTGTTTGTTCAAGCCAGGAAGGCAATGCCAAAAAGAAATTGCGTTTGCAACATTTGGGTACTAAAGATGGGTTTTGTTTAATCCTGACTTCGAATTTGTACATAACGTAGCTATCATGACAAGTAGCTGGGTTGAAAGCAATTATGGCGATTCAGGAAGGACAAATATCTTGTCTTTACACACAGCTACAGGGCAGAGGTGTCTCTTCTTTCCCTTCACTGGAGACCGTTGCTGCTTGGTTTTTCTAGGAGACGAGCAGGAAGTTTGAAAGATGTTGCTTGCCTTCTAGCTTGCGATGGTTGTTGATGATGCAGACCTTGTCCATACTTTTACAAAAACAGTGAAGGCCACACACCCTTCATGTAGTCCTGCTGGGCCAACCTTAGTTCCTGTTTTGTAGCAAGATCATCCATTTGTTTTGTACGCTCCTCGACTGCCCTTGATGTTACAACTTCTCAGTACTTATGTGTGAAAGTAGCTTGTAGACTTTTTGAGCAAGCTTTTTTTGTTATTGTTGGCATTGTTTGTGTTCTTGTTTGTGAGCATTGTTTTTGTTGACTGGAAAGTCCCCCCAACCTCTTCAGAATACTCAATTCTGATTGTGTACGCCAGCATCGTTTACTGCTGCGACGTTTACTTTTGGCGAGACCAACATTAAACGATGGTTCTTCGATGTCTCAGCTGTGCTGTCGTGCTTCTTGTGCCTGGAAAGTTTAAAGTCGGGCTTGCAGGACTAATGTTTCTAGTGCAGCTTTTGCAGCTAACCTGCAGATGAGCTAAGATGAGTGGATTAGCTGCCATGTTGCAAATTTTGTACAAATCATACAACCAGCCAATATAATCATATGAAACTTCATTGTGAATGTGCCCATCAATATACCAACCTGCTGGAGTGGGAATTGATGTTGAGATGTGAATAGGCTCCTTGCATTAGTGAGCTGCAGTGTGTTTACGCACTTATTACTAAGTACTCCAGTGAGCTCACTGTTAAAATTAAATTAAAATTAAAAAAAAAGGTCATTATCAGGAAAAAAAAATCCCCAGCAGAGTGCATAATTCGATATAATAAAAGAAACATATGAGCGAAACTAACCTGTTAAAACCCTGATGCTGTCTTCAGCCAGTGTTTTTCATAGAGAGAAAAAGAAAATATATATATACTATATATAGGGCGACTTAAACAGAGCCGTGTATAGAGAGAGTTTGGTCAATGGGAGGCGCGGGGTTTTGAACTGGATGAGTATCGTTAAACAGTGCATTCGTGTGATCACTCCTGCATGATGCACATCAAAGGCACCCCCGGGCTGGTGGTCACAATTGCTGATCTATGGTCACACGTCACTCTGCACTGGCAATGATTCTAGCACATCCGGGACACTCATCGTCTCATTTCATTGCCTGACCAACTTCACGGAGTCTAAATATCACACCCTAACTTTTCTAAACCTAATTTCGTTAAATGAAAACCAGTGAGTCGTGAAAACGTTATTTGAAACTGAAACTGGTGGAGGAACATGAAAACCGGACTTCGAACTTAAAAAATTTGGACTTGAAAGAAAGTTAAAATCTTCAAAGTTTATTCTTTTATCGAATTTAATGTTAAAAAAGAATCGAAACCTTCGAACTTTATGTAGAAAGAATTTCAAAATCTTTGAATTGTTCGAACTTCATGTCTATAAAAATTCGAAGCGTTCAAATTTTATTTTCAAAGAATTTCGAAATTTTCGCATTTTTTGAACTTCAGATTTTAAGAAATTCAAATTTTTCGAATATCACAAATTTCAAGTTAGGAAAGTTCGAAATCTTTGAATTTATCGAACCTCAAGTAAAGATATATTTGAAATATTCGAACCCAAAATTTTAGAAACCGTAAAAGCTTCAAACTTTCCTAATGCGAAACTTCACTGTGATCGAAAGTTGCGAATTTTTCTAATTCGAACCTCGATCGGTACGAAAATATCGAAATTTTTCGAATTCAAACCTCAGTTCGCTTTGAAAATATTGAAACCTTTCGAAATCGAACCTAGGGTGGTTCGCGACATCCCTAAGCGCGAGTGAAGCCACTGGGCGGCCATCTTGCACGCAGACAAATTGCGATTTCGCTAGTGTTATAGGGGCTGGCAATAGCATGCTGGAGACAGGTTTTCTATTCAATCGTCGTCATTCGCCTAAGAAGTGTTCAAAGACCCTGTGTAAGCGTTGAAACTCGCCGTTGAGAATGTGCGGAAAATTTCCCGAAAGCACGGTACCGCAGGAAAAAGGCACAACTAGTCGAAAGCAAGTTTCGCCGGTCTCGCGGCGTCAGCTAACTTGGCACGCCGAAGTGACGCGTCTCTGTGCCTTCGCACGCTTGGATACCGATCAAGATTCGATGCCGTGTGGATGTGTTTTGCAAGTGCAATGTGCGTGAAGTCATTTGCACCTCTGGAGCTGCGTTTTACTCTGACGACTATATTTTTCACTTGCAGCTCTCGCAGTCCAGAAATGAGCTGGATCCAGTGGCAGTAGCGATGGAAGAGGGGGGGGGAAGGTATATCTTTTTGTTCATCTTAAGACAGTTTACAGAATACTGCGCAACAGCTCCTCATCATTGATCAGTGATCTGACTCATCAACAACAATTGCACGTGACATCACGTTTGAGCGCGGCTCACCTAATTGTGATTGGTCAACAGATTGCACACGACCATATGGGCCGCGCTTCAAAAATTTGCGATAGCGCCGTCTTGTACTTTTGCGCTTTCAAAAACCATCTTTGCTCCATGGCGTTGCTCTATTTGTGCTGCCATGTGATCCATTAGATTAGATTTGGAACATAGCCATGGTTAGTAGTGCGTAAGAGCAACCATACAGATTGTTTCCCCCCATTTATTGATAGAAACTCGCCAGAACAGCTGGACAATCCAGAACTCCGTGGCCGATATATGGTGCAAAGACATCTATGCGCGACACATTGTCGAAATTTTGCTGCAGAGTTAATTCTTGATCAGTATCTAAGCATGCGAAGGCACAGAGACGGCGGCACTTGGCATGCCAAGGCAGCTTTGGTCACGCCGTGAGATTGGCGACACTTGCTTTCAACGAGTTGGGCCTTTACATACGGCTTCACGCACATTGCACTCGCAAAACACATTCACACGGCATCGATTCTTGATCAGTGTCTAAGTGTGCGAAGGTACAGAGATGCAGCACGTCGGTGTGCCAAGAAAACTTTGGTCACGCCGCGAGACCGGCGAAACTTGCTTTCGACAAGTTGTACCCTTTTCCTGCGGCACTGCACTTCCGTAAAAATTTCCATGTGTTCTCAACGGCAATTCTCACAGCTTACACTGGGTTTTAAAGAACTTTTTTTGGAGAATGACGACAAACAAGTAGAAGACATGTCTTCAGCACGCTGCCGCCAGCCTCCGTAACGTTCCAAAAAGGCGATTTTCTGACATGCAAGATGGCCGTCCAGTGGACGCGCTCATGCTGCCTCGACCAAGTGAGAATGAGGATAGCGATAGTCAAATTTTCGATTGTTTTGCATCATACCCACAGATTCTCTCAATGGATTCTCTTGAACTACATAGGCTATATGGGCTGTCCCAGAGCCGTGTATACAGAGAATTTGGTCAACGGGAGGGACGGGCAGAGCCAGGGCACCAGATGCAGAAAGAGGGCTTAACATGCTCTCTTGGTCAACCAGAAGCTGAAAAGAATACCCTAGCGGTGGTAGCGAGAAATGTGCCTGCTTTAAAAAAGAGACTCTGATCCGTACCCGAGAACCGAGCTAATGGCGATCGCAACGCCGCCATTTCTCCCGCAGCGTTCACTCCGAGAACTGCACGGCTGCACGTCGAGTCGTGCACGTCGGGCTAGGGAGGCTGTAGTAAAGTGAACTAGAGGAGGGATAGTGAGATCAGGCGCCGAGGCGCGCCATGCATTGCTGTGAAACGGCGCGTGTGGAAAGGTCCCGGATGTACGCGGTGGCGCTGTGGACGTAGTGGCTGTAGGATCCGACGTGGGCGACGTGGATCCGACCGCTTCCGGGCGTTCCGAAGGCCCTGGGTGAGAAGAGTTGGCTTGCATTTTTGGCAGCTCGAAGTGACCCCCATTCTGAACCGCTCTTTATCCCGTGTTGCCCGTGTCTGCTGTCGTTTATGGTCATTGAAGTGCCATGCCGAATCGACGTCGACAACGCCACTGCTTCGCTCCGAGGTGCCGGAGGTGCTATCAGCTGGCGGAAAGGTGAGCAGCCGTAGCTGTTCTCAGTGCCTTAGGAGGAAGAGCAAGAAAAAGTTTGGGAACGGAACTTGCATCGCCAGGATAAGCTCCTGGACGAAACGTGTGCGGTGTGTGAGCTTCATTTCGACCGATCGCTCTTGCCGGGTGTTGTACCGACAATGCTTCCGAATGCTCCGAGCTACCGATCAAAGAAAGCGTCGCAGCCAAGGCCCACGAGAAAGCGAAAAAACGCCGATGCTTCCTCAGTTGACGGTAAAAAAAGGTCACACACTGCCTCTCCAACTGGCTGCAGCAGCACTGGCTGCAGCAGCACTGGCTGCACCACACCGGCTGCAGCCGATACCGGGGTGTTTGATGAATGAAGCCTGTATGCCCGAAGAATACTCCACGCTGCGTGTCCCCTCCGAGTACTGGAGCCGTCACCGAGTTCCGAGCCACAGTGGTTTCGTGTATTGTAAACTTAAAATGTGTGACAATAAAGTTTTATCCGAGAGAGTAGTGATTTTTTTACGAGACAGCATGCCTGGTGTTGTATACACTGTTCATCTTTGTGGCCGCATGACTGAAGGAGGACGCGTCGTCAGCTGCGAGGAAGCGGAGGTTCTTTTCCAAGACGTTGACTCCTCGTCTCTGTGGATGTGCCGTGCCGACGAACAATAGGTCCTGCGAACAATTCCGGTAAAATGTAAACACGTCCCACCGCGTCGCGAAAATTAGAACCCGCGAATTATTTAGAAACTTCAGCTTTGACCTAAATCGCGAAATATTGAGCCCGCGAGAAATACGTCGTTTACAGTATTGTGTTTTTGCTGAGTTTAACCAATAAAAAGTGTCTTCATGTATAAATAATAGGATTTGCTGTCACACGAGTTCCTTTTGTCCAGTAGTATTTACCCAGGTTTCTTTGAAATTGGCGCTTAGCGAGACACATGATGGTGAATCAATAAAGGAGATCAAACCTTGGGGCTAGCTATGCACGGTTTCAATACTAGGTATAAATGGAATGCCCTGTTAACGATTGCATGCCATTTTTGAGGCTTGAGCCGTGATTGTTTAAATGTCTAGGAAACATCAATATGATCCTGTCTCACTATTACAACTAGCCATTTATGCGTGCGAGTGAAGGACTTCTTCACCATTAAATAGCTTCACCCTGTTTCTAATGAGAGACTCATAAAAACCCACCCGCCATAGAAGCAAATAAAAAAAAAAACTGCACGAACATTTTGGTTTTGAAACATCGCCTGGGAAATTGAACTGGCGTGTGTTCGCCTTCCACGTCGCGCATTTCAGCTTCGCATTAAAGCGAACACGGCCAGACGAATTGCGTCAATTTTGTGTCGCGTATTTCTTTTATAGGGTTCGTACCTAAAACGGAAAACATTTCAAGCCGAAACGCTCCAACAAAGAGTGCTTAGTCGCGCAGCAAATACAACGCGAGCCGCCC